CACCCACAACAGAAATGTTTTTGACTGCTGAAGAAGTATGTGGAAAAAAGAGCTTGAGATAAATTCCCCCTTAGTGTCTCAGCACCCTGACTTGCAGGATGCATTAACTTTGGTCTGTAAGACCTATCAAGAAAAAAAAAATAGAGCAAAGCAGCTTTTAAAATAAAGAAATCATGTTAAAATATGGGACTTTTATCTTCCATCTTGCCCACTGAGATTTTCACAGTCGGCCCTCTCCTTTTGCCTTGCCTTGCAGTCTTGAAGTGGCCTCCTGCATTGCAACACTTTGCACAGCCTTTTCTAGGTCCCTCAGTGTGTCTCGCCGTCAGCTCTGACACCCGGTCAGGCTCTGTTCTCCATCCATACCCAGGCAGGAAGTTCCATACATGTCTCCTTCACTTGCCGTTTGTCCCACCTATGTGATTCCCAGCTGACCATGTCCATGTGGTCTCTGAAAGGCTGCAGTCTCGTGCTTCTTCCACAGGATCTAGTGGTGCGTATGTCGCAGGGAAAAACAGACAGACATGTAGCAACACTGAAACCTTCCTTCTTGGGCATTATCTAGACATTAATTATCCAGGCATTTTTTTAAGATAATAAGGCCCCAAGTACTCAGTATATGGATGAGAATTATAGCAGCCTTAGAGAACAGCCTGATCTGAATCCCCAAACTGTGAACAAAGGTTGTTTTAACAGCCTGCCTCTAAAACAGGTCAGGGAAGAAATGAATGTGGTGGATGTGAATACAAAAACTTTTCATAGTATCAAGGTCAATGGTGATGCTAAAGTGCTTAGTTTAATAAAAGTGTCTCGTTTCCATTGCACACTTATGATTTGTTACAGAGTAAGTGAAATACTGCCCACTTGAAGCAGGTGATAAAGGTGACCTCATCTGGATGACTTTGCTTCAATGGGATTACAGGACACTCTTATAGTCTTAATACCAAGAGACAAGATGGTGGATTGTATTAAGCAACAGGAACAGTAGCATTTTTTGGCTAGCCCAGCTAGCTCAAAAGAGGAAGTCTGCCATGGTATGTGTAAGCAAATACAGAGGAGGCGCAATGAGAGGGACGTGAGAAGTACAGCATGTCAGAGAGGAGCAGGTCTAATGAGAATCTAAATTGAGATTAAATGACCCCTGCTGATGATGTGAACAGCCTGTAATAAACTGCTGTATTATCTAATTATTACTCTGTCTTGAACAGACCCAGTTTATCTCTAGCATAGACTTCTTGGGACTCAGTCAGTGGATGAAATTGGCCCAATTCATCATTTAAAACAAGCAGTTAAACCTCTGTAAAGCTGTCTGGTATGTGAGGTAAATTAAAGTCTTTACCTTCCTCTTTTTCATCCACTACAGGTCTAAGGCTGAGAAATGCCTGAGGCTGTTTCACTGCCTTGTTAGTCTGACATGCTTGAAAAAGTAATGAAAAGTATTGCTGAGCAGAATGGATGGATGGAACTTTCTCTTACTTTCTGGAGCATTGCTCAATGTGAGTCTTTGCTAAAATTTTAAGAGAGCATTTGGTATGGAGCATGAAATATAAAATACTTTTCTGCAATTCTTCACTATAATCTAGTGTAGAGATACTGATTTAAGACTATGATCACTGACTGCTGCTGAAGAATCAGAGTAGCTTTTGTATTTTGTGGATTTGATGTTTGGGAGTGAAGGGGGGCTTTTCATTTACCTTAATTTTGCTCCTTTTCCCCTGACTAAAGAGAGGTATTTTTGGTGTTTGCAATTATAGTCACTGGGTTGACATTGTTCTAAGAATCACCTGAGACATTGCATACATACCTCTCAGAAAAACTTCTGTGCAAATCAGCTTGTGTTGGATGTAAGGAGTCATGATGGGGTGATGCCAAGGGCATGCAAATTATTGTTCTGAATAAGCCCATAGAGAAAAATGCTATAGTCAATGAGTGTGAATGTAACTGATAAACAACAACAAAATAGTTAATGAAAAAGAAATCACTGTGGATTTTACCTCTGTGTTGCTACTGTTAGTGCTTTGTAATTCAGTTTTCTTGCTGGTGAGGCAGTATGATTCTTAGCTTCCCCTGGGAAGGAGAAATGGATGGTCAGGAAATGTGGAAACACAAAAGCTGACAGCTGCAGTTGCCCTTTTTAATTATTTTTCAGTTATTCCTCTCGTGCACTTTTCAACTTCAAGCAGTTATTTAGGAATTTTCAACCTGGTGACCAACACTGAGGTGCCATACATGCTTGGAGAGCAGAGCAAAATTCCTCACTGATTTATCATCTAGACCAACAGTCCTTTTATTCGCTGTGCTGCCTGACATTTCTCTGTGCTGCTTGATGGCTTAAGGAACTTGTCTCAAGTACTTTGCATACCAGCATACCAGTAAACAAGGTGAAGTGAAAACTAGTTCAGCATATCTCCTTTCAACAGCCCCAGTACAGTATGACTGAAATTGTGAGGGCTGATACATTTTTTCTTGCTGATAGCCTTCAGTTTGTTTCTTGTTTTATTTTTTGGTTTTACTGACCTAATGAAAGCACAGAATGTGCTTCTGTCTGGTAGACATATAATGAAGGAAAAGAAGACAAGCAAAGAGACAGTGTAGTATGTACTGGAAAAAGATCATGAGCTATCAGGGATATACTACAGCACAGTACAAGATCAAATATGTGGTGGTGTATTAATTCATCTGGTTATTCCTGCCTGCTTAGAATCAGCTCTGTTCTCTTATCTATTCCTAAGGAATTAGATTTTCCCTGTGATACATATTTTTCAGGATTGTCTGTATAGTATTCTTCTCTGACCCTCCTGCAGCAGTGCTGGCATTTTAGAAGGCACTCTAAGGAATTGTCCTAGCAATATCCTTCGGGCCATGAAAGGATTGGACAAAAATCATGTGGGAAGCAGTCATTTATTTTAAGTCCCCTAATTCCTGGTGTGATGTGACTAAGTGATACTCTTGGGTTGCTTTCTTTAAGCAAACTCGTATCTCACATGGCTGTGAGGAAGATAGGAAATGTAACTGAGGTGCATCCTAAAGTCTTTAAAAAAAGAGGTAGATCTCAGGAATTTGCTGCCAAAGCCCTCTTGTGTGTAGTACAGAAACTGCACCTCCAGACTGTCCCTAAACACTATTGTTGTTATCACCCACATTATAATGTCTGCAGCCACACTGGCTCCTTTAAGACCTTCTACAGCCACAGGATATTCCTGCTTTGCCTAATGATTATATGTATGTAAAACAAGGTAGCTGCATTTTTTAGAAAAGAAATGATAGCAGCTCCATTTCTCATATAATGTGCCTTTGTGTTTGAAAGATTCTGTCTAGTGTAGTGAAACACCCAGCTTTTTAGCTACTCCTCTGGTAATACTTAGTCTGCATACCAGTAAGTGTCTCTTGTTGCAAACTGGTAAGATTTTGTGAAAAATATAATCCGCTTTGTCTGCATATTGTTAGCACTTTGTAGCAGTGGGGAATATGCCAGCAGAGAGAGACTGTAGTAATAATTTATCACCACAGGAAGTAAAATAATATTCTGCTCTTTCACAGGAGCCAGATAAAAGGAAAACAAACCTCCAAAGCATTTTTGTCAGATGTTCATCCAATAGAATTCCCCACAGAAACTCCAATGGCAGATCTGAATGGCTCGCTGTGTTTTCCGTTTCATTACCACTTAACACTCTAAACTGTAAAAACAGGGAAAGATTACTTCATTCTCTTAATAATTCTTAGCCTTTATAGAAGGATGCAGATGACGAGAAACAGATGTCTAGAAATAAATACAGACTATGCATTACATTCCAAGGGTTTTTTTTTCCAGCATTAGTTCTTTAATTCTTCCTTCCCCACAAGCATCCACCCCAGAAAAATACAAGGATCATCTGTAGCAATTGACATTAGTATCCTATAACAAGTAATTAATAAGTAAATGCCCACTTTTGAACCGGATCGTCCTGCTGAAAGATACGAACAACTTCAGTAGCCCTTGCAGACTTGCAGAGGAACTTGACTAGAACACGGATGGGAGTTTGGAGCATGCCTATGTCTGTGATTTTGCACGGAGACCGGACTGCAGAGCTATGGACAGCGGCAGCACATCCAGCTGCTGTGGTGCACTGTGCCAGCACAACACCCACGGCCTCCAGACAGCACGGCCGGGCGACACGGCCCCGCGTTCGGCGCCAGATCAGCAGCCAGCTCTCGGCTCTAGATGAGCTCAGCTGTGCAATGAGCACCTAAGGCACCGAGATCCAGAATGTAGATACTAAAATCTGCTAGACAGCTGTTGCCTAACTCCGCAAGTGATAGAAATTTCTATTAAGTTTCCTGAAGCACTCTGGTATGAACTCAGTCGTCGGTTTATTTTACCTGGTTCATGATGCCTAGTTAGAAACTCTGCAGAATTAAGCAGCTAAACCCCCCATCCGCCAAGTGAGCAAGCAGATACTGCTATTGCTCATCTCATCTTACGGCGGTAGTAGAGTTCTGGCATTGTCTGGGCTGAGGAAGAAATGCCCCCTTGCCTCCATACAGGTTTTCCATCTTTTGTTTGGAAGCTGTTTGGAGGTTTTGCATGGAATTACACATGAACTGCGACAGGGTAAGCGACGCTGAGAGCAAGTAATAAAAGAACGGGGGTGAGAAACGAGGGTCCGAACCCTGGGCAACGGCTGCGGATGCTTCAGCGGCAAGACTAAGCCTAGCTGCTGGTGTTTCCCCCGGGAGATTTTCACCGAGGGCTTAGTGCCGGGTAACTCCTCAACAGAGAAGAGCCTTCAGGAGCACCGGGGGCGACCCCAGGGCACCGTTTGCAGCGTCCGGGGCCGGCCGTCAGTCCCGCTCTGCCCCGGGAAACCAGCAAGCGGGCGGCGGCTCCCAGCAGCGAGCAGGGCAGGCGCTAGGCGCCAGCATGCGTAGCCCGGGCCTTGTGCTGGCGCCAGCGGGAGGAGCGGCCGCCGGGGCGAGCGGCGCGGAAGGGCGCCCGGCACCGGCC